GGTGACAGGACTATTACAGGCTAGCGGCAGAGCGTTTAACACGTGGGCCGATGGGAGATATCCCACATACAACATGTAACATGTGGGATTCCCCTCTGTATGCTATGAATACCACTACTTAATAAAGAACCTGTCTTGGGCCTGCACATGGAATAAAGGTAGATGAGGAAAACTAAACTGAATGATAAGAGAAAGAAGGAGGAGTTTGTGAGAAGCCATGGAGCCGCTGCCAGAGACAGACATGTTGAAACCTTGCCGGTAGGCGAAGAGCCTCATGGTAAAATATAAAATAATGGAGATGGGTTAATTCCAGGTGTAAAAGCTAGCTAGAAATATGCTTAAGTAATTGGCCAAGCAGTGATTTAAATAATATGGTTTCTGTGTGATTGTTACAGGAGTCTTGGCAGCTGGGAAACGAACAAGCAGCCTCCTACTACAGTAGCAGACTTCCTGAGTGACTTAATATAAACCTCTTCGGGTTAATAGTCAAATCCATTAATCCATAGAAAAATGTATAATTGTACAAAACTACTCCATGTGATCAATCCATCTGAGGGAAAGTATGCAGAGTGGAAGGCTACCTGAAAGTAACCCAGTTCTTAGAACAGATGAGTGTTTTAAAATAACAAAACCTACTTCTGGAAAATACAGGAAGTAGACAAAACAACTTAAAAAAGAAAAGAATCCACTCAGTTAACAGAAAGAAAAGCCTCTACATTCCACACAAGGAACACCACAGTATCTGAAATCAAGACCTCAGAGGAAGTCTTTCGCTCGAATATGAGACTGGGTGAGGAATGGAAGACAGATGAGTAGAAAACACTCAGCTGCAATTTGTGTCCTTATTTACAATGTAAGCCCAGGAAGGAAAGTGGGCTTTAAAAGCATGTCAATACATATTACGATGTGTTTTCCTTCCAGGATCTCGGTGTGGGGAGGACCGCTCCTCTTCCGAACATGTTTATGTTTCTAGCCTCACCGCATAATCACGTAGCAGACACATTGCACCTGGAAGTGAGTGTTTAGACTCCAGCACTTCATGGCCTTGTGGCTAATTGATATCTTGTTCCACTCCTTCTCAGAGCCATGTGGAGGAAAATCAAAACGGCCTTTACTGATTGAAGAAGATGCTAAAAGCCCCTCTCCAGGGGATGTGAAGGCACATGCAGCAGAAAGATGGTAGTCTCCCTCCGCAGGGTCATAAGCTTGGCCATTAACCCCAGGAGAGGAAGAACTTGGCCCATAAGGGGAAGGAAATGTCAGATTTTCTCTCACAGTTACTCTCATTGAGCAAGTCCTTGGAGACAATTTCCCCGTCTGTTTGCATCTTTTCCTTAGGCTTTCCCAGAAAGAAATCCTAGCTAACTTTAGTCGGGAAGGAACCAGGTGAAGAGCAGAATAAAACATACTTGATCTGAGGTTTTGCTTATAGAAAAACCATGTCTAATAGAAGCAGGAAAATGCTAGTCATTTTAAAAACTGATGTGGGATATATGTATCCCACTGTGTGAAGATATGTTACTGTGGTTGGTTTAATAAAGAGCTGATTGGCCAATAGCAAGGCAAGAGGTATAGACGGGACTTCTGGATAGAGGGGAAGGAAGTAAGAGGTGAATCTAGACATACATCAGATGCCAAGGAGACATGGAGGAAGTCAGATATACAGAATAAAAGAAAGGTGAAAAACTGCAAGGGAAAATACAGATTAATATAAATGCGATAATTTAAGTTGTAAGAGCTAGTGGGACAAGCCTAAGCTAAGACCAAGCTTTCATAATTAATAAGAAGTCTCCCTGTCATTATTTGTGAGTTAGTGGCTGACAAAGCTTGCTACAAAAAAATCAGCCAGTGGATCAAACAATAACAAACAACCAATAAAAGTAGACATAAGTCAATAAAGGCAAAGGACTTAGGCTTGAAGTGTTATGGTACATCCTGAGCCCCTGCCTAGTTGGCGGTCAGACTGCACAGCTTCTGTGATGGGTACTGGATAGGGATCCCCATAAATGGAAAACAGAGGCGGGGAGAGGGGGGGATGGGGGAGGAAAGGGGTAGCGAGAGACTGTGTCTAACCTAACTTCAAACTCTGTTTTCTAAATGACAACAGAAAGGAATGGAGAAGCCAGGAATTCAAAACAGGCGCTGAGTGTGGAATTCCCTGCGGGACACGTGAGATGATATCTTTATTAAAGACATAGTTATAAAGGGAGGAGAAACTATTCATTTGCTATTTGTGTGCGGCTTGTGTGTGTTTTCTACTGCACAGTCTGGGCAAGCCAGGAGAGAATGTCGTAGACCCCAGACAGAGTGAGAGTTACAGGGAGTGGGGGCCACCACATTGGTGCTGGGAACCAACTCTGGCTCCTCTGCCAGAGCAAGAAGTTTTCATAACCACTGGGCCGTCCCTGCAGCCCTAGGGAAGCATACAGTGAGAAACTGGTTAAATGAATTCAAGAGGGGCTGGCAGAAGTGCAGTGGCTAAGGGAACTTTCTGCTCTCCAGCAGATCTGAGTTCAGTTCCTAGCACCCGAACCCAGGTGTCTCACAGCTGTGCATAACTCCTGCCTTCAGGAGAACTAATAGCTTCTAGCCTCCAGGAGCACCTGTCCACATGAGTCAAACACGCGCGCACACACACACACACACACACACACACACACCACATCACACACAAACACACAAATAAATAAATGGACTACCAAACATACCTTTAGAGCTTGTTTGCATTCTGAATTTTAGTTGGGTTAGGAACAGTAAAACACACTTTTGACTAAAATATGGATTGGCAATAAATAAAATTAGGACTTATTTATGGTCTTGAGATGGAACCCAGGGCGTCAGATATGACAGGCAATTCTCTATCAGTAACTAACTAACTAAATGTGTGTGTGTGTGTGGAGAGAGAGCTGTCAGTATGTCAGATATTATAGATATAGATATGTAGATGTAGATGATATAGATAGATAGAGATAGAGATAGAGATAGAGATAGAGATAGAGATAGAGATAGAGATAGAGATAGAGATAGAGATAGAGATAGAGATAGAGATAGAGATAGAGATAGAGATAGAGATAGAGATAGAGATAGATATCTGTAGCTTTGGTTGACCTGGAACCTACTGTGGAGTCTGGGCTAGACTCAAACTCAGAAATCCATCTGCCTCTGCCTGAGATAAAAGGTGCAGGAATTAAAGATAGGTACCGCCATGTCCAGCTTCTACCACTTACTTTTAAAAGAAAGGCTTATATTAGGCCTTGTAAGACACCACTATTAAAGGATATATAGGTGAAACTGTATGTTGTCCAGAACTTGCCCTTAAATATTCTTTCGAAATCTGAATGCACCTGCTAAGGCAGCATCAGATATAAAGAAGCATGGTGGGGTATTAATCACTGTGAAGTGTATGTTTAGGGTACATTGTTATTTTGTTCTTTTCTCTTAAGTTGTGAGTCTGAACATTTCTATGAGCCATAGTCACAGTCAAAGTGGGGTGCTATTGTGTCTCGAGGATCACAGTAGCTTTTCTCTGGGTTTTCTCGGGAGCAGCCGGACTTGAATGCTCTGCCTCTCATGTTGAGCAGCCATAGGGCGGTTTCCTTGCAGTGCCCACAGTTTGATCCCTACTCTCTGTTCTTACCTTTCCTCTGTCCACGGATGTCTGTAAGCGACGAGGTCTTGAGGGTCCCCAGTAGCCTGGAACCTGTATATCATCCTCTGTCACTTTGCAAGGAGAGGCTTCAGTTCAAAATGCAACCTCTAGCCCAATTATTCCATAACTCTATGCTTTGGAAAATAAAAATAACCCTTTAGTTCAATTTAGCTTGGATCTTTGTGATTATGTTCAATCAGCAGGGCCTGCAAGGGCAGACAGCCATCAGCACCTGCCTGTCCCTGGGGAAGCAGGTCAGGTGAGAGAGTGGCAGGAAGCAGGATCACACAACATGTTGTTGAAAGAATGGAAAATCACGCATGCCCTAGAGCAGAGGTCAATTATCCAGGGAAATGAAAATGTTAAAAATTGGAGAGAGCGGGATTAAGTGTTGGAGTTGGGTACCTAAAATAACAAAATAAGGCCACAGATACAGTGGGCTAATCTGTAACAGAAGAAAAATTATTTATTTTCCTGTACTTTGGTTGGAAGGAAGAAAGGGACCAAAGATATTAATGTGTTTCGTGTGTGTGTGTGTGTGTGTGTGTGTGTGTGTGTGTGTGTCTGAAAACAAGCATGAATGGAGATAAGGTTGCTTCTCCCTATGGAAGAGATCTTCGACATAAAGAAGAAAGAAGATGGAGAGGAAGGGAAGGAGTTTAAAGTGTCCAGGGTTAAAAACAGCTTTTGATGGGTTCCACTCACCTCTAATCCTAAAAACCATCCTGATGCGGCCCACGAATCAACTGAAACATTTAAAAAGTGAGAAACTAGCAACCGTCACGTAGCTGCACGTTAGAGACGGTCCAGCAGCCAGGCTGGCACTAGGGGACCAAGAGCAGAGGCAGAAGCCTGTGTGGTTCCCCGTGGACTGCTGGTCGCTACTCCACGCTATGCAGCCACCGTGAAGAGCTAAGTCAGGGCTTCTATCGAAATAGCTTGTTCCAAGAGTTAGAGAAAAGCCTGCAAGAGAATGACTCAAAAGTGACAGCTAATGGGGGTGCTATCACCCAAAGAGGTTCACGTTAGGGCCCTGGGCCTTCTTTCCTCCCTGATCCCATCCCACTCGCCCAGGACAGGAGCTGGATAAACATCTCTTTGGTCTATCTCAGACTGGCTGTCCCAGAAAGCCCAGGGTCCATGGGATCTGATGTCCCCTTTCCTATGCAGAAGCCCTGTCTTCCAGCCACACTCTACATTCGATCTTCATACATTCTCTTGCTCTCTAACCATGGAGAAAATAACTTTGTCGTCAATAAAATAATGAATAAATAGCATCTTCATGGGGAAAAAACATTTCAGAGAATGGTTTTTTTAAAAGTTTATTATTATATCAACACATTCATTGGGATTTAAAATATCTAGCACAGGTATTTTCTCAAATATTTATGTTTACTGATAATTAAAAATACACATAATCCAAGAACAACTTTCACTGTTTCTGCAGGCAGTATTTTCAATTGTCGTTCTCAAAGACCAAGGTCAGTGTCTCCTGGAGAAGTCTCCCTAGAAACCAATGCCGCACTGGATCTGACTTGGTACCTACATGATATCTGAAAGAATCTCTGTTTCTTCTGCCTGTCTCCTCTTTCCCCGGGATGTGTTGGCAATTCCCAATAAAACTTAATGTCATTTCTAAATTCAACAACCACTAAGGTCACCTCAGCAGAGAAGACAGAGGCCAAAGGACAGCCTTGTTCCGGCTCACCAGGAGCAATGTCCCGCAGTTTTTGAATTCAGATCTTTCATTGTGCCAGGACTCACCAAGGAGGCTAGGCTGGCTGGCCGGCAGGCCCCAGGGAGCTGGGATTCCATGCGCATGCCACAGCACCCGGCTTTTACCTGTAAGTTCTAGGGACCAAGCTCAAGCCTTCAGGCATGTGCAGCAGGCACTCACCGACTGAGCTGGGTCCCAGGGCCTGTTCCAACTGTGTCCTCATGTCTCCCTTCCATCTAAAGACCTAGCTAGAACTGAAAGGCAGCACTCAGAGCAATAATCTCAAGGAAAAAATTAAAGGAAAGGAAGTCATAAATACCCAAGGAAAGGAAGGCACAAGCAATGCTTTGTATAATCTAGGATTTCAGTACACACCTGCCCCAAAGTACGAAAGACAGGCAGCGAGGTGTGAAAGGAGACCCTTGGCTTCCATTGTGTTTGGTGTTCCATCCTCACACTAAGCTCTGGGAGGTCCAGGGCTGTTGGACCAACGCCAGTTTCCACGTGGAGCCACTAAGTGATGGCAACAGAGGTTCTCCGAGTTTCATAGTTTCTAATCCCATAAATCCTTTACCGACAAAGATCTAAATAAAAATATTGCAAAGATCTCCTAAGAGTCCTGCCCATGGCTTTGGCTCATACGGACCTGAATATACTGTAGTTACTAGGCGGTCTACTGAGGGGAGACCTCTTAGAAGTTATATACAAATTATCAGGAGGCACTGATTGACTGATAAATATTTGAAGAGAGTGTGTATATGTGTGATTGATATGTTCCCATTTGTGTGGGGGGGAGGTAAATACATGACACAGTGCACATGTGTAACCATCAGCCCTGCCTTCTATCTTATTAGAAAGAAGGTCTCTTTGAGGTTAGTCCCAGTATACAGTTGACTAGCTGGCCCTTGAGCCTCTAGGAATTCTCCTGCCCCATTTACATCTCACCACAGGAGTCCTGGGATTTCAGGTGCTTGCTACCACTGCCAACTTAAGTAGATTATGGGGATTCTATTTCAGATCCCGACATTTGCATGTTAAGAGCTATACCTGTACCCGCGGAGACATCTCCCTAGCCTCCACTAATTGACAGGACTCAAGGGTTGTTTGAGCAACTGTCTTTCTTTTCTTGGTCAAGGTCCCCACTGGCTCTGCAACTCACTATAGAGCAGAATGCCTGCTGGAAGTTATTGCTGACCACGGCATACAGCAGCAGGTTTCCAAAGGTGTTGAGGGCCACTAATGGTCTAGAAACAATGTAAGCTTCGTGAATGTGACTCTCGATGGAGCAGCTGATGGAAAGCAGGCGAGATTCAATCCGAATGACCCTCAGGATGTGGAAGGGTAAAAAACATATATAGAACACTAGGAGCAGCAGGATGGTCAATCTCCGGGCCTTCTGCTTAAAGCAGCTGTGGGTCTGAGGTCCATGAGTCAGAGTGCTGATAATTGTTGTGTAGCAAAGTGTCACTATCACCAAGGGCAAGCAGAAAGTGGTGGCAGTCAAAATGAGATTGTACCATTTGATAGTAGTGAGGTCATCCGAACTGGTGAGGTCAAGACAAGCAGACCTGTTGGTCCTGGTGGTTGATGTGATCAGGAAAGTGATAGGCATGACAGCGACCAAAGAGATGACCCACACCCCCGCACAAGCTACCACCGCCCACCGCGTTTTCTGAATAGAAAAACAGCTCATTGGGTGAATGATGACGACGTAACGGAAGATGCTGAAGCAGGTGAGGAAGAGGATGCTGCTGTAGAGGTTGAAGTGGAAGCCGAAGCGGATGAACTTGCACATGAAGTCCCCGAAGACCCAGTGTTCACCGCTCGCGTAGTAATGGATGAGGAAAGGAAGGCTCGTCAGGTACAGCAGGTCAGTCAAGGCCAAGTTCAGCAGGATGACGGTACTGCTCTTCCAGGGTCGCATCTTGAAAATGTAGATGGAGATCGCCACCGTGTTCCCCGGGAAGCCCACAAGGAAGATGATGCTGTAGATCGCAGGGAGGTACTGCGTCTTGAATAAGATTTGCTGCTCATCGGTGCAGTTTTCCAAAACAGCTACATAGTCTAGGAAATCAGATTCATTGACTAGACCATCCAGTGGCTCATTTATGGTTTTTTTCATCTTGCAAGAAGATGGAGAAGGACCTTTGGGCCATGGAAGTCCAACGAAAATAAGCTAGCTGATCAAGGAGAAGAGAAAACATGAATAAAAATACCGGTCAGCTGGTGAGGATAGCTCTAACATCCTAAATGTGTCATTGTCACTGCTCCCTTTCTCTTTAATCTCAAAAGAGACTGTGGAGAAGATACTAAATTCCAGGGACGTGAGTATAAAGCACCTCAATAATAATCACACTGAAGCCCAATTTTCATGAGAATGAGAATAAAGGATTGAGACGAAAAAAGCCATGTCTCTATGGAAAAGTTTGTTATGGCTGCTGTTTAGCAGATCATGGTGGGGGTGGGGAGGTCGCAATCATCTTTGGGGACTTGAGAGTAGAGATTCGGCATCAATCAAGGTCTCTGTGTGTCAGCACAATACCACCGCTAAACCCCTCACAACGCTGCCCATGTTTCTTATTACCTTTGGTTTACAGAAGACAATAAAACCAGAACTTGTGTAACCTAAGCCTGGCCGCACGTCCAGTGACCTAGCTGTGTCCAAGCCATGATTGTCTGATTCAGAACCATTCTCTTCCAATGTTGCCAATTGTTATTTTGTTTGTTTCTTTACCAGAATTTCCTTAATTTACTGGAGAAAACTGAAAGTGTGAAGATCTAAAAAAACAGCACTGTACCTTTTTTAAACTTCATATTTGGGACTGGAGAGACAGTTCCTGTGCTGAAGTGTTTTCCTCTCAGGCACAGGGACCTGAGTTCAATCCCCAGAGCCCACATAAAGAGCCCAGGCAGAGTGGCACATGCTTGCAACCTCACCCTGGGAAAGCATAGTTGGTGGGGGTCCCTGGGACTCTCTGGCCAGTCAGCGTAGCCTGCTCTGCAGCTCCATGCCAAGGAGAGACCCTGTCTCAAAGAGACAAGGTTGATGGAGCCTGAAGTATGACACCCAAGATTAACCTCTGCCTTCCACATGCACAGGCACACACAAACAAATGCATACATACACACTTATACGACACACACACACAAGTACACAAATGTACACAATTACAGAATTACAAAAATGAAGCTGTCATGAACTGCAACAGTGTCTGTGGAGGTAGACTCAAGGTCAAATATCAGCTCTCCCCACCTATTTTAATTTCCTCACAGAAGAGTTAGTGTGTGTTTTGGAGGTGGGGTCAGCAGTGCAATGCCATAATTAAGAGCTTAGACTCTAAAGCCACATGGATAAATGCCCACCTTAGTCTTTAGCTAAGTGTCTTTAGCTCTTAAAGTCTGGCTACGGTAGGTACCATTTGATCTTCATTCTTCTGGTTTCTCTGTCTTTCCTAAAAAAAGGTTTGACAGCAAATTTATTATAGCATTATGACTATGAGAAGATTAAGTTATTATGAGCTTATTATTTGAATGTACATATTCTGACTGTAAAATATGTCCACTTACACGTTTGTAGGGCACCCACTGTGTACTGGTTAAGCAGTTTTCCAGATCCAAAAGATGAATACAAACAAATGTGTTAACCAACATTTGGTGTATACCCAGTAATATAATAAACCCTCAGTAAGGTCAAATGGCTAACCAGTAAATCATATGGTACATCATAGTTCACGGATACTAAGACGGCAAAGAGACAGAAGGAGGGTGCCACTACGGAAAGGTTGCTGATGTGGGGATATTTTACCTGAACCTAGCAAGACAGAGGATTTTTTTCCAACTGAATGTCTTAGTTGGGATTTCTATTGCTGTGATAAATCACCATGACCAAGGCACAGCCTAAGTGTGTTTGATTTGGGGCTTACGGTTTCAAAAGGTTAGAGGTCACGATGTCAGAGTAGAGGAATGGCGGCAAAATATCAAAGAGCTCACATTTTGATCTCAAAGTTGGAGGCAGGGGTGAGTGGTTGGGGAACTCTCATGATAGCTTGGAAGGACTCCTTTTGAGGCTATTGAACCTCAGAGCCCCCACCCAGTGACACGCCTCCTCCAGCAAGCAAGCTCACATCTCCTAATCAATTAGGAGCCAATTTTCAAACATATGGTTCTATGGGAGCCATTATCATTCAACCCACCGCCCAGAGGATGGAGGAATAATGGAAACAAGATGACACGTGCTAAGGCACCAAGATGCAGCAGACTTCAGGAGGCACAGGACCCTTGTAGCTCAGAATGGCTGTGTGCTAGCTAGTTGTTACGTCAATGAGACGTGGTAGAGTCATCTGAGAGGAGGGAACCTCAACTGAGAAAATGCCTCCGGAAGACTGGGTTGTATGCAAACCTATAGGACATTTTCTTTATCAGTGAACCATAAGAGAGAGCCCAGCCCATGTAGGTGGTACCACCCAGGGCTGGCAGTTCTGGGATATATAAGATAACAGGCTGAGCAAGCCATGGAGAGCAAGCCAGTAAGCAGCCCTCTTCCCTGGCCTTTACATATAAGCTCTTGCCTCCAGGTTCCTGCTCAGTTTGAGTTCCTACATTTGAGTTCCTCGGTGAACTATGATCAAGGATACTTAAGCCAAACAAACCTATTCCTCCCCAAGTTGCTTTCAGTATTGGTGTTTTATCATCAAAAAGAAGCCCTAACTAAGACAGGCTGCTTGCTTTGTTAGGGGACATTTGGATGATTCTGAGCATATCAACACACACATGGCCACACATGCAAACACAAACACACAATGGTCAGTGATGGTCTGTGATGGTCTGTGATGGTCTGGGACTGTCAGTGATGGTCTGTGACGGTCTGTGATGGTCTGGGACGGTCTGGGATGGTCTGGGATGGGCTGGGATGGTCTGGGATGGTCTGGGATGGTCTGAGATGGTCCTAATTTTACAGATGTGGAAGCTGACACCTAAAGAAAGCAGTGATGTGTCAAGGTCACAGCTAACTGATGGTAAACCAGGATCCACACTGAGACAGACTGGTTTCAGGCCTTGACCTTCTCTTGCAGTCAGTAGGCACGAGCCAAGTCCTAAATGCCATAGAACAATGATGAGACAGAGGTTACCGCACAGGTGCTTGGGAATTCAAACACGAAAACTGTGTGACTTAGCACTGAATATAAATAACTGGGCTACCTGTTTCAGTAGGGTACCTGGCTCTGGGCAAAGCCATAACTCGGCGTTTGCTAACTCGGGGCGTGCTGTTGATGTCACTGTTATCTTACATTGAATCCATCAACCACTTCTTCATCCTACTGTGCAAATGTGTAAGACGGGCACACTTAACAAAAGCAAGGATCAGCAGTATCCCCCCTCATTGCCTAGCCTCAATTACACTCTCACAGACTTTATTTAGTCCAAGGAAGAACAGAAAGCCTTTTTAGTTCCATTCTGTGTCCTGATGGAAAGAGAACAGTTGGCAGGGGACTTGCTAGGCACTAGGACCCAGCAGGTATGCACCGTTAGCAGAAAAGGATGGCTTCTTCTCAGAAAGGAAACTCAACCTAAATAAAGAGGCCCTCATAGAGCCAGCATCTCAATTCTGAAATCAAATCCTATAGAAGAGCAAGGATACTGGCCACTATGGCACTGTGGGAGATTCCCCTTAGCCAAATACCCTGTAGGGGTCTGTGTACAAAGAGCAGGAAGTTACCTAAACCTGAGAGAAAATGAGCCTATCACAGAGTCCCTGAAGCCCCTCATTCATAAATATGCAAAGATTGTTTCTGTAGCACCCCAAAGAACCTTCCAGGATATTTCATCTTCAGTGGAATTTGGCTGAAAAGGAAGGGGAAGAGGGAGGAGGAGAAAAAGAGGAGGAGCAAGAGGAAGAAGAAGGGGAAGCAGAATGAGGGAGACAGTGACTATTGGTTAAAAAACAGAACTTGATTCTTTTATAACTCAGAGTAAAGAACAAAATTACAACTTCTGTCTTTGGCAAATAACCCCCGGGTGATGTTATGAGGACATTTTAAACAGTCATATCAGGGAAAGGCAAGTTGTAGGCAGACACAACCACCTTCGTGTTTTGACAAACAGCAGCTCACCTCAGCATTTAGTGCAGACTGATTAATTGCAAGAGAATGGGGGTTGACTGCAAAGTTGAAACTCTTCCATAAAGCCTGACTGAAATTATGACCCGAGTTTACAAAACACGTGTTACATTTACAGCAGCTCACAGCAGCCAGTCCAGACGGTGAGCAGGGTAAGGGGATACAGTTTCTCCCAATCCCAAAGCCCAGGGTCCTGCACACTGCACGGCCACGATCTGCAGTGTCTGGTTGTCCACATCCTGCTGGTCAAACTCAGGGTCGCAGGAAAATGGCACGACAGCATCCCATGTGCCGCCCTGTCCTGTGCTGCAGTGGTGATTCCAAACTTGAGTAGGCTGCTGGCCACCCAGAACTAACGGGCTCTTTATCCTCAGGTACTAGTGATGCTGTGAGCGTCAGTGCGCTACAAATTAGGCCAAGTGTGGGTGAGTGTGGGAGAGTGAAAGCCAACACCAAAGGCAGGGCACAATCTTATGAAGTCGAACCATATTTTTCTTATCTTTACCCCGCTCTGAGATCAGGAAGATACTTCACTCTAGGAGGCTGGTTGAAGAATACATTTTAGGAAGACACAGTTTGGGGACCACTGTCTTCATGCCCCGCCCCTGACCCCACAGATGAGGATTCTGGTCTGTAGTTAAGGCAGGCGGAGTGGTGTCCACTGAGGACCCGTGTTTGCCTGTGCTTGCAGGAAGCTCACTTCTGACATATGGTTTCCCTAGGGCACATACTAGCTCCCTCTCCAGCCAGCTCTTTCAGCTCCGGCTCATTCCTTCGCTCACCCTGAGCATCTCTGGTGCTGCTCCAATGCCAGGTCCGCAGCTGGCTCTTCTTTACAGAGACCAGCCTGGGGATTAGGCAGGTGAGTATCTGAAGCACTCACTGTCCACTTCTTCTGAGAAGCCTCAGAAACCCTGCGGCTAGGGTCACTGTTGATTATCAGAAAGAAGACACACATCACCGGTTGTGGTGATGCACGCCAGTAGGATTTGCTGAAGGACACAGAGGCAGGAGGATCATGAGTTAGAGGCCAGCCTGGGCTATACATTTTTAGCCAGGTGGTAGTGACACATGCCTTTAATTTCAGCACTCTGGAGGCAGAGGCAGGAGGATCTCTTTAATTCGAGGCCAGCCTGGTCTACAGAGTGAGTTTCAGAACAGGCTCCAAAGCTACAGAGAAACCCTGTCTCAAAAAAAAAAAAAAGAAAAAGAAAAAAAAAGAAAAGAAAAAAACAAAGAAAGAAAGAAAGAAAGAAAGAAAGAAAGAAAGAAAGACAAACAGACACAGGATTCTCTCTCTCTCTCTCTCACACACACCTTGGTTTTCTCCTCTACACATTGGGAAACTGGCAAAAAGAACAATTTTTAATCCCCCACGAAATGTGTGGAATGGAGGAGTTGTTATCCCCCTTAAGCCCAGAAAGAATCTGTCTCCTTAACTCTTAAGATGTCTCTACTCTCTTCCTTTAGTTCCCACTTTCGAATCAAACCTTCCAGCTCTAGTAGCTGTTAGACTTGGCGAACTGATAGAACCCAAAGCCGTGGTTTTAGCTGTTTGGTCTTTGGGTGATTCGAATTAAATATATGGACATTTTCTTCAGAAAAAAATGCACTTCTGTATACCGTCTGGAGGGTCAGGACATCCTCATGCTAGTTAGCTAAATTTACAAAGGAACAAGAGAGGGCAACAAGACATTTACGAGGGAAAAAGTTGTTGTCTTCTTAGGAGTGGGGACATGGACAGTGTCATTAGCTGGACCTGACACCAAGTCCAGAACCATACAGCACTGAGTTTGTAGTGTACCCTGAATTCTGGTGATCAACAGGAATCAAAGACGAACCTTCCTCCTGAATCCCAAAGAGCCCACATTCTCTTGTACAGAGTCCAGGGTTGATAGGCAATGCTGAACTACCCACAGGTGATAGATAAGTAATTCATGGCATATACATACAATGGGATGTGTTTTGGCCTTAAGACCCAAAGAACTGACACATTACAGCACAGATGGAAGTCAAGCAGTCATGAGACAACAGATACTGCCTAGTTCTGCAGTTTCAGTCCCTAGAAGAGGTAGACAGTCAAGAGGGGGTCGCCAGTGCCTGGAGGTATTATCAATGAATAGGTCGGACTGAGTCCCACAGTCCTGAAACTGTATGGGGGTAAAGACGACAGCAGAGCTGCTTTACCTGCTTTTCTCAGAGGGTTGAGATAAAATTTTATGTTATACGTATTTAATTTTAAATTATATGTATATAATTTTTAAAAATGTTTTTAAAGTTTCCTGTTTTGATATCACTTAACAAAGGATATTGAGAATTCGAACAGGCCAACACGC